TAATATATTACATTTTTGTTCTTTGGTTTACACTTTAAAGCTGAACTCTAGGCAGACATAAAAAACACCTAAATGATTTAATCTCTGTAATCATCAATCAATAATACATCATTTCATGTATTTTTTATGAATACTGGGTCGCTACTCCAGGTGGATTCACCCCTGATGCATCCACATACACAAGTGTCATGGAAAAGTAAAAAGATGGAGGGGTTCTGTATCCTGCTCCTCCATAAATACAATGAGTGAAATACAATACAGTGAATGAGCCTTGTCACCCTAGGAGAGGAAGTGTGATACTGGCAGGCTCACCAGTTGAAAATATAGCCTACCTTAGATTGTACACCCCTTGAGGGTCAGGGACTGATGTGAATGTACAATATATATGTAAAGCACTGTTTAAATTGACAGTGCTATATAAGTACCTGAAATGAATAATAAATAAATAATAATAAATAGCCTGAAAAGCCTGAAATATAAAAAAAACTAATGTAACCACCACAAAGGAATTGGTAATATATTACATTTTTGTTCTTGGGTTTAGATACACTTTAAAGCTGAACTCTAGGCAGACATAAAAACACCTAAATTATTTCATCTCTGTAACCATCAATCAATAATACATCATTATATGTATTTTTTATGAATACTGGGTCGCTGCTCCTGGTGGTTTCATCCCCATACACAAGTGTCATGGAGAAGTGAAAAGATGGAGGGATTCTGTAGTCCAGCTCCTCTGATACATCCCATACACAGTCTCCAGTCTGGTGCCAGCCCAGCTCATATGCTGCACATTTTTATTACCCTTTAAAAAACAAAATGACAGGTGGTACAGGTACAGTAGAGGACTAACAGGTAAACGCGTTTCACACTAAAGCCAGCATTTATTCAGCGTCTATCTGTAAGTCATGTATTTTTTAGTTTATGGAATCCTATGGTTATAGCAATCTAAGGATACACTTATTTCCACAAGGGTTACTTATATATCTGAGCCATTTGGTCTCATTTATACTCTGTGGATTGGGAAGGGAGGAGGTCTCCCACAAAACTACCATCTTGTGATAGAACAACATTATGTGCTGGACCTCTCTATCCTTTGTCCCATATTGAAGTAATCCAAAAGCTATTTCTTTGGGGAAATAAGCATAGCCTTATATTTCTGATATGATGCCATAAACTAATTGTAACAACTATAGTGGGATCAATGGAATTGCATGGATGTCTTGAAGCCCTTTCACTGTCGACCCTAATGAAGTGGAGCTATCTACGAAATGCGTTGAGCGCACAACCTGTTACCTGTGGAATGGGAACACTCAGTATAATGCAAATATATAAGTAGTCTTTGTAGTGCGTTAAAAAAGAATATTGTATTATGTATCATATGTGATTCTTTCAAAAGTTTATATGAAGAGATTAATAAATCTAGAAGGTTTTTTTTTTATATATTCACGTATTGAATGGATGTCCTTGGGTGCTGTCCTAGAAAGCCCCTAGTCCCTTGTCCACTGTAGTCTTTTGTTTGTTTGGAGTGATGGCACTCTGGTTTCTCTCCCTGAGTCATCATTGTCTTTTTCTAAATCTTGTGACTTCCTCTGGTATCACTTTAGTTGCTTTTAGTTCTGTACAGGTACACTTGAAAGCTCTGTACATACGATTTTTGCATAGTGTGTACACAACTTTCAACATTTGAATCAGACTTTTCAAATGAAACTTTCTGAAGGAACAAACTGCAAAATTCGGATACAAAAGACTTTGCATGATCAGAAAAAAAATAAACAACAATACTCTACGATACATTTCTATGTCAAACCAAAAAGAAAAGCCTTTGTTGTTAAAGAATTTTTGTACACTTAGTACCATCCTCAGGTTTCGACTTCCTGTGAAACATTGAGGAAAACCAGACAATCATTTGCCCGTTTTTCTTATAGGATGTGCCCAGTTTTATATTACTGAGTTGTGTATGTTATCTAGGATTTTCCTTTGAAGCCTACAGAAAATAGCTAGGTGTGGCCAACCGTATCACCTTCTTCTTAGGGTCCCAGTTACAACCTCATCCAAACCTTTGTAATTTGGAGACAGATCATATTGTATCTGGTATGGACTTAGCTGCAGATTTCTCCTACACACCAAAGACTTGTGATCCCTTTACAGCTGGAAGGATCACTTGGAGGATCAGGATCTTATACAGATAATACATACAAGTACTGCTGGATGGAGATGCTTTCCAGATGTCCTCTATGAAGTTTCTGCTAAAATTCAATCATAATACCGCTCTGCTCCACACAATTTACACCCATTCTGATGAGTTCCAGAACTCCTTGTCTGATCTTTCTTCCTCCGCGTGCTACAGGCCTTTCCTTGGCTGGATGCTACAGATTATTAACTTTAAGTTTCATATTATTTCACTTAAATGCCTATTACTCACCTGAACATTAACTCTGACGAACCCTCCCAATATTAGAAATATGGAGCCGCAAAATAGAACGATCACGGCCCCATCTGGTCCTGCCATACCACTTATTAATAGCTTCTTCTCATGATAGACCTACACCGCTTCCAATTACTTTAATTTTTTTTTCCAGCAGGTTTTAACACATCTGTTAGCAGTCTGTTCAAGGTATCTACAAGCCTCAAGTATTGGGGATACACTGGAAGATTTCTCTATGTTGAAGTTTCTCTTGACCACATTCGTTTTATCGTACAAAAAGCCATTTGATACAAATTCAATAAATTAGACATTAAACCTTCATCAGTATAGTTCTCAGTAAGGATCAGCACACATCATTTGCTAGAAATTGCCTTATCACAATAGGTAGACACATCTTAAACTGGATTATTGGAAAGCAATGGCAGCTAGATAAGTCATATTACCGCTTTGCATTTTTTAATTGAAGTTGACCCATCCCTCTCACCTGAACAAAACAATAGGGCACAAAGGCCTAGTGCATTACCATCAACACTTTTTTAGAAAATAAAAACCAATAAGTGCTCACTCACAAAAGCCAAAAAAACACTTTACATAAACCCAGGTAACAAAATGGTCTTCCAGGAGATGGACTTCACATGACCATGGCAAAGGTCAGACTACCAGCTGACATGTTTCAAGGGAGATGTCCTCTTCTTCCTAGCCAATTCCCTTGTATGTGGAGTCCATCTCCTGGAAGACCATATTGTTACCTGGGTTTATGTACAACGCTGGATTCATCATTGGCTTTTGTGAGTATGCATTCATTGTTCTTTATTCCCTAATAAAGTGTTGATGGTAATGCACTAGGACTTTGCGCCCTTTTGTTTTGATCATTCTATTTCAAGATTCCCTGATCTTAAGAGGGCAGCATTGGCGTTGCACACCGGTCTTGGTTAACAGCTGATGGTGACCACCCACTACTGTCTCTTTTTTTTTCTCAAGGATCTCTTAGTGCTACAGTATCAAGGTTGTTTCCTTTGGTGTGTCATCCCTCTCACTTCCCTATTGGTCAGTAAAGTCATCTATCACATTAAAGGGGACTATGGAGTAAAATGCAAAGGATTATCCTGCCCAGGTCTTCATCCTCTGTATAAATTACTAAAAGATTGTACATTCATAAAGTTTCTGTAGTGGAAAAAGTTAGATAAGATGAGATTTATACTTTGTCCGTTTTCCGTATCATTGAGCATGAAGTCACCATCCCGCTGGGAAGATTCCTGGGTAATGCAGAACAGGAAAAATTGCATGAGAAGTAATACAGGTCTAGGCTGTACTTATAGCATTGCGACCACTGTAACTAAGGGGTGCTTGTAGCAACAGAAGTGGACAGGACTGTGCAAAACCACACTCGTGGCCTGTGTCACCTTGGGGAAGGAACCTGCGTATCTCCAAACCATTTGCTGTGTTTGACCTATGTGATGTGACACAAATAAATACCTGTGAATAATTAATCTACAATTGAGTTCTGATGACCTTCTTTCTTTTATTACATGAGAAGACACTCCAGTCTGTTCTAAGAGCATCTTCTCAGAGCTGCTCTGTATTCCCCAGGATCTTTCCGGAAAAGGTGTAACATTGCCCTTGTCTGGGTACTGCAGCCGGAAGCCAGGGGTAAGGTGGATATAATTTTTTTTTTCATACAAGTGCATTGTGAACCTACTCTATGCTAGGGATTTAAATAAGGGGAAAGGGGGCTGGAGTGTATAAGTGGACCTTGAAGTAAAGCAAAATAAAAGGATAACTTTAACTTTTCTTAAAAATGTTTTCTTCCCCTTCTCCTACTTATTCTGCAAACCCTGTAAAAAAATGTTTTATTTGGTACAGTCCGGTCATGTGATCTCACAGCTCTGGCCTCTCCAAAAGGAGGAGGGTAGAGGGAACATATTTACAAATAGTTCGAGTTTGGTACAGTCCGGTCATGTGATCTCACAGTTCTGGCTTCTCCGTTAGGAGGAGGGTAGAGGGAACATATTTACAAATAGTTAGAGTTTGGTAAATTCCGGTAATGTGATCTCACAGCAACCGGCTTCTTCAGTAGGAGGAGGGTAGAGGGAACATATTTACAAATAGAGTTGGCTTTTGCCAACACTTTAACCACCTTCCGCCCACCCTATAGTACAATAACGGGCGCAAGGTGGTTCTCTCGTTCTGATAGGACGTCATATGATGTCCTACCATTCTCACTGCACATGCGCGGCTCAGGGAGTGCGCAGCGTGGCGATCACTGGTGTGCTGTGTCCCTCGGACACAGCGGATCACGGAAAGAGCCAAAGATGTCGGCTCAGTCATGTGATCAGCTGTGTCCAATCACAGCTGATCACATGTAAACATGGAAATGCCGGTTATCGGCATTTCTCTCCTCTCGAGCTGTCACGCTGACAGCTTGAGAGGAGAGGAGAGGAGAGCCGGTAATCGGCTTTCCGCGGAGGGGACATGTACACTGATCATCAGGGCACTAATAATCAGTGTGCCCTGATGATCAGTGTGGCCCCAGAAGTGCCACCTGCCAGTGCCCATCAGTGCCACGTGCCATTGCCCATTAGTGCCACATCAATGCCACATATCAGTGCATACCAGTGCACATCAATGCTACCCATCAGTGCCAGTCAGTGCCACCTATCAATGCCAATCAGTACCACCTATCAGTGCTGCCAATCAGTGCCGCCAGTCAGTGCCACCTTTCAGTGCCAGTCAGTGCCGCCTATCAGTGCCAGTCAGTACTGCCTATCAGTGCCGCCTATCAGTGCCATATATCAGTGTCATGTATCAGTGTCATGTATCAGTGCTGCCTTTCAGTGCCCATCAGTGATGCCTGTCAATGCCCATCAGTGCAACCTACCAGTGCCTCCTCATCAGTGCCCATCAGTGCCACCTATCAGTTTCCATCAGTGCAGCCTATCAGTGCCCATCACTGCAGCCTCATTAGCGCACATCAGTGAAGGAGAAAAATCACTTATTTACAAAATTGTATAACCAAAACTAAGAAAAAAAAAATTTTTTTTTCAACATTTTCAGTGGTTTTTGGTTTGTTTAAGAAAAAATAAAAATCCCAGAGGTGATTAAATACCACCAAAAGAAAGCTCTATCTGTCTCAAAAAAATGATAAACATTTCATATGGGTACAGTGTTGCATGACCGCGCAATTGTCATTCAAAGTGTGACAGCGCTGAAAGCTGGAAATTGGCCTGGGCAGGAAGGGGGCATAAGTGCCCTGTAGGCAGGAAGGGGGTATAAGTGCCCTGTAGGCGAGGGGTTAAAGGACCAATAGGTAGGCAGTGGAATGTGACCAAGCTTCACCATTACAAGAAAGGTGGACTTGTGTTGATAATGGGCAAAGCTTTAAGCTGCAACACACTTGCAATTGTGATCAGTTTAAAGTGCGTCTGAAACCATTTAGTTTACGGACAGATATATACAGGTAGTTCACTGACATTACCTCTATCTAAGCTGCTCCAACCTGCTTCAAACTGCTTTTGTATTTCCACAGACTCTTATGGAAAGGGAAGCAATTTTTGGTGTGAACAAAAGTTTGTGCTCAGCATCACCTCTTCCAAAAGGTCCTGAGCGCGGTACACTTAATCAATGCAGAGCACAGTTTGGCGCACTCACACTACACAAACAATCCGCACCAAGGGGGTCAACCGTGCCTGTGCACAGCTAAAACTGCCAGTGTGACGGCACACTAAGTCAGTGTTTCTCAACTCCAGTCCTCATGGACCCCCAACAGGTCATGTTTTCAGGATTTCCCTCAGATGAAACAGCTGTGGTAATTACTAAGGCAGTGAAACTGATCAAATCACCTGTGCAAAATAATGGAAATCCTGAAAACATGACCTGTTGGGGGTCCATGAGGACTGGAGTTGAGAAACACTGCACTAAGTGAACCTGTTAATTTGTTCCTCAAGAGTAGGTATACTTTAATAAGAGCCGTCCTGATACATCAGTCTTTGTTTCGAGGTTGAGTGCCTAGCAATGGCATAACAAGATAATCTCTTTTATCAGGTATCTCTTGTTTAGACATTCTAGAAATGAGTTGCTTCTGAAGATCCAGATATGTACAGGTAGGAAGAAAGGCTTGGAGACAAGTGATGGCAGGAGAGACAGCGTTACTGAAATAAAGTTATTTACAGCTTCATGATGTAATAGCTCATGAATTCAGATACTTGAACTGATTTCATAGGAAAAGAACATAAAATCACAACATTGAGTAACGCTCAACCAACATGCAAATAAAAACTCAAATAAATTAAAAGTGAATATTTTGTTATATGTGTCAGTTCTGAACTGCGTAAAACTGCTTGTTGCAACAGACCTCCGACTCCCGTTAAGAGCCAATAGATTAACTAGCAGATTGTATTTCTAAATTCATATCACATGTTATATTCAAGCTATTAACCACTTGCCGTCCGCCTGCTGTTTATAAACGGCAGGGCGGTGGCAGTCCAGGGGCGGGTTGCCGTTCATAAACGGCACCCGCCTTTTCTAGCTGGGAGTGCACAGCACCGCGATCCGGTGCCCGCTATGTCCTCCGGACACAGTAAAACACCGATCGTCGGACGGGACCTCTGTACGAGGTCCCAATCATGTGATCACTGATTCACATGCAAAGTAGTAAGCAAGATGTCACTTGTGACATCATTGCTTACTACGTGTGAAATCTGTGACCAATCACAGCTCACTCAGTACTTCTCAATGACTGCAAGAATGCACAGAGAGAAAGAGAAACGATTGCTTTTACATCCTATATGGGTGTAAAAGCAATCAGTGTACAAAAAAAAAATCTACATCACCCCCCACAAGTAGTACAGTGTCACCATGGTGACACTGTACTGCTAGGGTGACAGTATGCAACAAAAAAAAAAAAAAAAATAAGAATATAAAAAAATAAAATAAAAATGTAAAAAAAATGTTTAAAAATTATAATTTTTGGTTATAAACTAATTTGGATTTTTTTTTTACTAAAAAAATAACGGAATAAATTTAGGCCAAGATTTATGATGAAATATTATTTATTTGCAAAATTTTATAAAAAAAAACACTTTTTTTCAAAATTTTTGGACTTTTTCATTTACATAGTAAAAAAAAATAAAAATCCCAGCGGTGAATAAATACCACCAAAATAAAGCTTTATCTGTCTCCAAAAAATGGTAAAAAATTCATATGGGTACAGTATTGCATGACCGCGCAATTGTCATTCAAAGTGTGATAGCGCTGAAAGCTGAAAATTGCCCTGGACAGGAAGGGGGTAAAAGTGTCTGGACAGGAAGTGGTTAACCAATTATTGATTGAATTTGATCTACATCACTGTGAATTAAGTCTATGTTTAAGTATAAATGTGGTCTGTAGGCTTGGTCGGACGTTTCTTTTTAATGCCAAAGAAGAGAGCCATTGCTGCTTCCGACATTTTTTAATGGAGAGGGAGACCTGCGTGTCCCATTGTCTACACTTCCAAATTCACCCAGATTTTTCAGCCCCTGTTCGTCCACAGAACTAGCATACATGAGACTATGATTCATGGCTGTAAAACTTTGGCAACTACTCAAATATTAAAATAAGGCTATGGTAGGGTCTTGCTTAGATGGATATAAAAAAGTAATAGATGGAGTCAAAATTCTTGAATTTTTTTGGATGCAGTGCTGCTCCAGGCTCTATTTAGTGCTTGCCACATACAGTATATAAAGGCCTAGGACTTACTCAAGTGATCAAAGTTTAGATATTATTATTAATATTATTATACAGGATTTATATAGCGCCAACAGTTTGCTCAGCGCTTTACAATATAAATGAAGATCTTTCCATTTAGCAGCAATAATGTGACCAGTGACCAAGGCCTTTAGACATGTGGCCAACACTACATAAGCACAGCTTGCAAGAAAAGTATTTTAGCTCTTAGAATACTTAATTTATTATCCAGGCATCCAGGCAAGAATCTTGACATTTATTTTTTTTTTGTAAAGAAAGCTTGGTTAATTTACAGCGCAACCAACACTCATGAAGATCCAATGTGCTTTATTCTGTTAACAACAATTTGTTGCTCTTATAGACATGCTATGTCCTGTATCTTCATGGTCCCCTTGCCTCCCTAGTGGATCTCTATCTTAAATGGATAGTCCAAGGTTTTGTCTCTAGAATTTTTCTTCCTTAGAAATGTCCCTTATCAGGAGAAGCCACATAACCATATAAGCCTCCAATTCTACTCTGTCATTTTTTTGAGTCTCTTGTATTTACAATGTATTAGCTGTCAATGCCAGGAGATCAGAGCTGAAAGGTTTTGGTGCCGAAATCTGCGCTCTAACCTAAAAGACCCATCACACTAACCTTGACTTTTATCCTAACCTCCCCTTTAAGCCTAACATTAAATCTCTTAGATTGTAAACTCCAAGGAACAGGGCCCTCTTAACCCTGGTTATCTGATTAGGGTAGTATAGTGCATAACTGAGGGTAGTATATTATTATTAGTATACAGGATTTATATAGCACCAACAGTTTGTGCAGCTCTTTATTATATAAAGGGAGATAGTACAATTACAATACATTTCAGTACAGAAGGAATAGGAGGGCCCGGCTCGTGGAGCTTACAATCTAAAGGAAGGGGGAAGTGGTACAAAAGGTGATAGCTGTAGGTGAGTCTGATGTAATCTGATGGAGGAGACTCAAGTACAATTCTTAGGTGGAGGTGGGGTAGGCTTTCCTGAATAAGTGAGTTTTCAAAGATCGACTAAAGGCAGACAGGGTGGGGGCTGACCGGACATACTGGGGTAGGGAGTTCCAGAGTATGGGAGAGGCTCTGGAGGAGTATAGTGTCAGATTAGGGCAGCTAATCACAGGTTAGGGCAGCATAGTGGCAGATTAAGGCAGCATAGTGACAGGTTAGGGCAGTATAGTGGCATGTTAGAGCAGGCTTGGGAAGAGGGCACCACTAAACTCTGGGGGGCATAGCCCACCCCAGCACCCCCCTAGATCTGGCCATGTTACCAATGCAGAAATTTTAAAAATTGGTTGAAAGGTTTAGCACTGTGAAATACTTTTTGACAGATAAATAGAGCATTTCATATGCAACTTTATAAATCAGACCAAAATGAGGGACAGATGAGGAGGAAAGAGGGACAGAGGCAGGGGCGGACTGACCATTTGGAAACTCGGGCACTGCCCGAGGGCTCGGGGTCAGTAGGGGGCCCCATGAGATGCCCCTGGTACCTTTTCATAGGCTTTTTGGAGTTTGGGCAATGACACAGGGGCCCCATGATCCCCTATTGCCCGCGGGCCCCATGAGTTGTCAGTCCGCCCCTGCGCTATACAAATCCTGTATAATAATAATAACCATTCCTGTAACTCTAACATTATCGCTCTCTGTATCCTTAACACTAACTCTCTCTTTAACTCTCCCTACCTGTAACTCAAACACTAATGCTCCTTATAGCCCCAACACTAACCGTGCCTGTAACCCTCACACTAACCTTTCCTCTAACATTTTTTCTGCCTGTAATATTAATCTTGCCTATAATCCCAACAGTATTCCTCTCTGTTACCCTAACCCTCCCACCAATATGTACCCTGCCTGTAGCCTATACACCAACCCCTTGTAACCTTAACACTAACCCTGGAGATAATCCTAACTCTAACCCTCCATCTAAAAACCACCATCCAACACTAACCCTAATACTATACCTCACACATACCTGTCTTTCACTCTAACAATAACACTCCCTATAGGGAGGGAGGAAAAGTGGGATCCAGTGTTACAGCCAGGGGCGGACTGACCATTCAAGCACTCGGGCACTGCCCGAGGGCCTGGGATCAGTAGATGACCCCATGAAATGCCCCTGTTACCT